TTTATGAGACTTGACTAGACTACTCAGGGCTGTGAGATCACTTGGCTTGTTTACTTGAATCGTTTTTCAACTCTTTTCTCTCGGAATCATGAACCGGCTATATACCGGAACACTCATATGTATGTACTATGTGAAAGGCAATTTATATCTGGGCTTGGTTATTATCTTTTATTTTTGTCTTTGTCAGTTGAATTTCGTTTGATTTTGCTTACTGTACAGCCAAAAGCTAAGAATCTTCCATTGAGGTTTGTTTCCCGCCTGTTTTCCATTACCATATAGCTCCTATCTCTAATTAACTGTTGTGTGAGAGAGAAGATAATTCAGCCATCTTTCGCCTGCTCGATATCATAAGGTTTAATGGGCCTTAGTAAAATACCCTTTTCTTCATTTAGGCCCATATTTAGAAATACAAGATGGTTTTAATTTGTCGTGGCTAATACAAGTACAACAAAAGTAACTTTTTTTATAATATAGTTTTTTTTATAACAAGATAAATTATATTCGAATTAATGTCTTTAATGATATTTAGGGGCCCTTATTCGTAGATGGACTTATGTGGATTTTGTAGATTTTGAAAATTCTGAGATTTTATAAATTTTGATGGATTATCATTGATTCTTAAAAAATATTCCTAGGATTGTTATTGATTTGTCATAGATTGATATGGATTTATATTAAACATTTTCTATATAAGGTAATATATAAGATAACTTTTTTTATATACTATGTGAGCATAACTTTTTTTATATGAATTATGATTTTCGTTTTCTCTATTATATATATATATATATATATTTATGTTTATGTTTTGCAAAATTTGTGTTTTGAGATAGTTTTGTTTAATCGAAATTATAATTTGAGATTAGTTATTATATTTTTAAAATCTGGGTTTTGATATTCAAGCAAGTTCTTCTCGTTTTTTGTCTTATAGTAAATTAAAAAATTTTGAGTGTTTCTGATACATTGATGAATATATATGTTCACATGGAGTATAAATAATAATAGTTGTTTTCTTTGTTAGGTTTTGGTTGTGTTATGAATATATGTTTTCGTTGACATGGATTTCAAAATTCTTATGTATATCTATAGTATTTTGAGAATCTTGTTGTATGAGTAAAATTGAAGAGATTCCATCTCCCAATAACATTAGATTTTAATAGAATTGAAGAATCAATGAAACATAAATTTTTTGAATAACAAGAGATTTTAAAAGGAATGTAAGAATCCATCAACAAATAACAATGGATTTTATTAAGAATTAAAGAACCCATCAACCAATAACAATGNAATCTACAAATTCTCAAAATCTTTAAAAATTCATCTACCAATAACCTCTCCTTAGTTTCGAATCCAAAAAAACAAAAGATGGGAGTTTCTCCTCCACGAATCTTCTGGGTTGTTGACACGTCAGCAATCCAAGCATTTTAAAAACATCGTGTAGGCCTTTCTCACACAAAAGCGATCGTTTACGTCTCTCTTCTCTCTCACTCTCACCGACGAAGAATATCACGATCAGATTCTTGTTTATCGTCGGAATCTCCGTTTTCAGTTTTTTTTTGTTTACGCGATCAACCATGAATCCCGAATAGTAAGAATCTTCTCTTTTCTCATATCCTTGAGATCGATTTGCGTTTTTGAATTGTATAACATGTTCTGTGGTTTTGATTTTTCTTTCGATCGTGTTTAGCTGGAGATTTTCGGAGAATGAATCTTAGCAATTTTAATTGATTACAGCTTTATTATTCTCTATGAGAGAATTCTCGATTTCGTGGATCGTGTTTTGATTAGANCTACGAAAAAAATTTGGTTGAGATCTGTTGATGCTCTTGAATACACAGGCGATTCTATTGTGTGAAACTATCCATAGTCGATATATGGATTATGGGGCTTGAGATTGCGTTTCAGAATTTGGGGATTTCTGACTCATGAAATGGGCAACATGTAGAGAAATCTATGAGCTTCATAGACTTCTGTGTGGAGCTTCATCTTTTACACGTGTCTTATGCTTCTTTCTACACTTGCTTTGTTCTCCAGTGACTATTTGTTCAAGCTTTTGCTGATTGGTGATTCTGGTGTCGGAAAATCATGCTTGCTTCTAAGGTTTGCTGTAAGTAATTTAATTGCACCACTCTCTTCTCTGCCTTGACTGGAATTTTCATCTCTGGTACTAGTAAAACATTGAACACAACTTTTTCTGGGCCCTTAAGGATCAGACTCTTGCGTCTGATAAACTATTGCAATCATCTACAGTCACCTAGTTTATAACTATGTTTCTGCTCAGTTTATACCTCGGTGATGATGAACTTGCTACTTTACTCAAGTAAAATTGTTCCTCCTCTTAAGTAATTTCTCAATTGTTGCGTGTGCAGGATGATTCCTACCTGGATAGCTATATTAGCACCATTGGTGTTGACTTTGTAAGACCCTCACCACCTTTTTACTTGGTTTGTTGGTCATTTATAACTTATGAAAGTAATAATCTTCTTAAATCATGTCTGCAGAAAATTCGCACAGTTGAACAAGATGGAAAGACCATCAAACTCCAGATCGTAAGTTCTCTTTATCCGCGTTAGTATCATAGTCACTTGAAATTTGTAGGTACATATGGTCACTCTCCTTATTACTATGACCATGACCATGACCGTGTATGCAGTGGGATACGGCAGGCCAAGAACGTTTCAGAACTATCACTAGCAGCTACTACCGAGGAGCTCACGGAATTATTGTATGCCGTTTGCCATGCTAAACTTTCTCTCTACCGAGTCAAATGTCATTTTGTTGAGGTTGTGAACTGTATCTTTTCACCATTGGCAGGTGACTTATGATGTAACAGATCAAGAGAGCTTCAACAATGTCAAGCAATGGCTAAATGAAATAGACCGCTATGCCAGTGAGAATGTGAACAAGCTATTGGTCGGGAACAAGTGCGATCTCACATCACAGAAGGTTGTATCCACCGAGACAGCCAAGGTACATCTCATAACATTCTTCAGAAGTGAAAACTTTTGAGGTTATTTGACACTCTTGTCCTAAGGATTTACTGTAATGTTTGTTCTGCCAACACAGGCTTTCGCTGATGAACTTGGGATCCCATTCTTGGAAACAAGTGCCAAGAATGCTACCAATGTCGAAGAAGCTTTCATGGCCATGACTGCTGCAATCAAGACAAGGTAAACACACACCTTCGTGGTCATTATCATTGGTTAAACTTATAAACGGGTCCTAACTACAGTTCTGTCTATCAGAATGGCGAGCCAACCTGCTGGAGGATCCAAGCCACCAACGGTCCAGATCCGAGGACAACCTGTAAACCAGCAATCAGGCTGCTGCTCCTCTTGATTTGCTTTGGTAATACTTAACCATATATTACATAATTTGTTTGCATGTAAGACATCTAAACATCGTTGCTCTCTTTATCATCTTCTGTATTTGGTTTTTTCAATTCTTCACTTAATGTCCAAAAGTTTCTAAATTCTTTGTATTGTACTTGGAACAATAAGCTTGCTTAGTAAAAAAGTTCTTCATGCATATATCTCTGAGTTGAAGAACAAAAAAATAAGCCTGAATTATATGTGAACCTAAAAATTTAGAGAATAAGTGGGTTTTTTCTGCCTCATTTAACTAAAAAAATCCCAAACTTGGGTTCGTAGAACAAAAAGCCTTCAGCTCTCAAGAGAAGAGTGAACAATAGAATCAGAAGAACAAAATCCAAACCGAGTGAGAGAGATTACAGAGACGAGAACCCAGACGGACCAAACCGGAGAAGCCTTACTTTCCCAAAGTAGGGAACTGTGCCGTGTCCTCAATGGCTGGTGCAGCAACTCGTTCATAGCTCTGGTTACCTTCTCCTCCTGGGGCTTCTCCTCCTGGGGCTGCTCCTCCTCGGGAAGGTCCTCCTGGGGCTGCTCCTCCTCGGGAAGGTCCTCCTCGGGTAGGTCCTCCTGGGGCTGCTCCTCCTCTTGGGTCACGTCCTCCTCGGTATCCTCCTCGGTATCCACCTCTCGGTTTGTAGAGTTTCAGAAACTCGTTTATGCTCAATGACTACAACAGAAACGAGAAAGGATTTTAATGAAGTGTGAAAGCATTAGCAATTTAATTAAATGGGGGAAAACATTAGTAAACTACTGACCTTCTTGGCCTTTTCTTCTTTCTCAACTGTGCGCTTGTCCTTCTCTGTTCCCTGATAACAACATTGCAAGGTTCAATAAACGCAGACTCGATTATAATTGAAAAGCCTGAATATATATTACAGAGACAAAAACAAAATACTGAAGAATCCAGATTCTCACCAGTTTGATGAAAACTTCATCGTTGTTGCTCTTTTTGCTCGAAAGCTGTTGCATGGACTCAAACTCTTTTGTGTCAACCTTCCTCTCCTCAACCTTGGTCACCTCCAGAGCTTTCTTCTTCTCTTCCAAAACCTTTTCATACTCTTGCAGAGTAAATGTCTGCATACAGAGAGTTCCCGTTAGATAAGAAACAATTTTTCTTAAGCTGTTAATATAAAGGCTCAGATGATGATAGTACCACTGGCTCTGGCTCTTTCTTTGCTTGTTCTTTAGAAGGCGACTCTTTCTTTGCATCAGTTGATTCATCTTCACCGCCTTGCTTTTCAACAGCCAAGTTCTTATCAGCCACTGCTGTGGATTCTTCAGTCACCCTATTGATGAAAAGAATCAAGAGTTTTTTAGATTTAAACAACATACACCAACTAAAACACGAAACACACATATCTACCTAGAAAAATCCTATTTTTAGAAAACGTGAATGCTTACGGTACGTCGTCTTCAGTGGTTCCCCAGTTGCCAAGGCCACCTCCATCACGTTTAAAGTCATTTCTACACAACAGAGAGTTTCACAATTAAAACCCGCATAAACCACGCAGTACTAGAGTAGACATTGAGATGCTTGCTGCTTACCGTTGACCTGTCCCACTGTGGCGGTTGAAGGTCCTCCGTGGGCGTTCAAATTCACCTGACTCTCCATTGCTGGAGCCTCCACGGCTACCCCCTCGACCACCACCACGGTATCCACCAACAGAGCCACCACGTCTTGCTCCGTCCCCTTCTCCAGAGGGGGGTCTGTGGCCTCCACCATAGCCGTTTTCATTACGAGGACCATCCTGATTCCTGGAATCCCTGTTGAATCT